TTTTATAGGTCATAAACACTTCTGTCCCTATTTGCTATGCATCGCTTCTCGGCTACTAGAGAAGAGTCTGGGCATTTTACCCATCACTCCTTTTCAGAACCCTTGTAGATGTCCTCAGCTGCTAACCCCACAGGATTTTCAGCTTTCTTTTTATTTCCTGGGGAAGACAATGAACATTTCTTCACCTAAGAAAGATCAAGTGTGTCCCCTGTCTCGAAACACCACGTCAGGTGCTGTTCTGTTCCTTCCTGCTTCTTTCCTGATGTGGGGCCGTACTCCCCTGGGTCACGATGCTTGGTCATGATGCTTGGTCATGGTGCAGATGACTCACACTACAAGTCATGGCTGAGATTTTGCAGGGGAAGGGAAACAGGCAGTCCACCACTGACCGTTGAGTCCAAACTGGACCCACGGACAAGGCTCCCTTGAAATTAAGCAAATACTGTAAAATGTTGACGTGACTTGTAGAGCTGTGGTCTCCCTTTGCCTTGCCTTTCTGTGTCCAATCGGAGGACACAATATTAATTCATTTTGCTGGACCCCTACGTAGGCGGTTCTAATAGCCCCTTGGGGTTTAGTAAATGAGCTGAGAACTGTATTCATGTGTGAGAGTCCTCATTTGTGGTGAAACTACAGTTTCTCTTCATGTCTAATGATTTCCTCATGCTCCAAAGTTAGAAAAGGCAGCAGTTGTGCCAATGTCACCAACACTTTGTGACGATGTTCCTAAGCTCACTCTCTGTCGTCGTCCCCCACCCCCCACCCCGAGGGTAAGCTTTTTAGGGCAGAATCTGGCCTCTTTGTTTTGTATGTTCAGTGCCTGGCATGTAAACAATATTTGAACCGAATCTTTGTTTCTCTGCATGTGCCTGCCCTCAGGAATGTTTTGAAGGAAAAACATGCTTGCTTCATCTGCAGGAAGATTAGTTTTGAGACATACCAGTCAGTCTTTTACAAGTGTAATCCCCAATGTCTGCACTTCTCATCTCCCAAGAGCAGGAGCCACACTGCCCTCACCCTGCCACATTCCCATGGAAGGCCCCCTGGGATCCGCTTTCCCTGTGTTTGAGAAACTGTACATTCTGAGGCAAATCAACCCTGAGAATTGGGCATGGTTGGATGGCATGAGCTGTTCTCAAAATGACTGTTTCAAAGCCCAGGAGATTTGACAAAGCAGATCTAGGCAGTAGCTCCCCAACCCAGCCCTGAGGGTGGAGGTGGGGGTGGGGATCCTGAGTTCTGCCTTCCACCTCTTTTGTACCTAGTTCATTCTATTTTTACATTCCCTACTGCTCTTAGGTCCTAGACCTAATCTTACATCTACAAGACTTAAAAGAATTTTTCTTTTTTTTAATCTGTTGTTTGACCAAAAAACCCAACCCTAATCCCCCAACAGGAGGGCAGCTGTGTGGATGCTTCACATTTTTGCTTGTGTATGCCCAAGACTATCACTTGCCTGAGGAGCATGGAGGAGTAAAAGACTGAAGTTTTCATTCTGTATCATTTTAAAAAAATGTTTTTATTGATTTTCAAGAGAGGAAGGGAGAGGGAGAAACATCCATCAGCTGCCTCCTGCACACCCCCTACTGGGGAGCGAGCATACCACCCGGGCATGTGCCCTGACCAGGAATCCAACAGGTGACCTCTGGCCAGGGCTCTATACCATTTTGTATGATTTTAATTTTTATCCTATGCCTGTTATTACTTAAAAATATAGTTTACATAAGTTTCCTGTCACTTCCTATGTATTCAGAAATCCTATTAAACTTTGAAGAACTGAACTTTAATTATAAGTAAAAATCATTATTTGCTTATAGAAGGGATCATTTTTGATAGGTTGCAGGGTTTTGTCAGACATGGTTTTAAAAATAAACTTGCTACGTTGGGATTATGGCTTTCTTCTCTGTTGTCTGCCCTTTGGACTAGGAAAATGAACCCGGCCCTGATTTCTGAGATAATGTAAGTAAGCCGTCTGGGCCTACCTGAAAGGTAATGCTGGACACGCCCACGCTGACATCTTGTGCTGTGTGGCCATGCTTTATTATTTATGAACTACTTCCGCAAGGTGCTGGAATTAAGTGGACTTAAAAGCAAATGAACAGAAATGCTTAAAAATTGAATTGATGTTTAAAAATTAAAACCCCGCTACATGTTCTGGTTGGGGATTCCTTAGGATGATTTATAACTCTTGTTATAAATTATGCTTGTGTCAAATATCCCTTGGATAATATCGATAATAGAAGAAACAACTCCTGTCTTCCTTTCTAGCTTTAATAAACCCAGCACAGGTTTTTAAAAATTCTGAACATATGCATGAGATGCTTACCCGCCTATGATTCAGTCTGCCTTTCACCTCCTAAAGTAACCCTGTTCTGGGGTTCCTTGGTGTTTGGGTTGCTTGTGAGAGTAAGCAGACAGGACCCTCCTAGTGGTGTTGGGCTTCCAAAACAAATCCCAGGTCAGCGCCTGGGGATTGAACCTGTGCAGCAGGTAATAGGCCCGCAGGGAGGATTCTGGAGTTGGTTGGAGCTTTGGTCAAAATAAACAGACTTTGGCACTGATATTTTTGGAAAGGCAGGCCTGGTCCCAAGAACTATCAAGTCCATATTCTTTAAAAGTCTGTCCTGTCTTCGCATTCCCTGGGTGGACAGGGGCAGCTCTCTGCTTGTGGTCCTCTGAGCCCTGGGACTCAGCTTTCAGCAACGTCCCCTTTCCAAGTTGGTATTTACAAAAGGTAACCACCTTCATCACCACGGCTACCAGTTAGCACATGACTGTCAGAAGAGAAAAATACAAATAATCCTCTCAGCATCTAAGTGACAAATATGCAAACTATTCCCCCGGCCAGGTCCTGGGAAATGTACTGGAAAGACACCAGGGGGCAACCAATCTATGTGTCTCTCTGCCTTTCCCTCTTTCTTCCACTCTCTCTAAAAAATCAATGGAAAAATATCCTCAGGTGAGGATTAACAACAACAAAAATAAATAAATAAGAGTTGAAATTTGAGCCCTCCTTCCTGTGTGTTGCAAAAGGTGGCCCATTGGGAAGATATGTTAGGAGAGAATGCCAAGCAGGAATCTTGGTGTAAGGGACAAGTGGGAGCTCTGAAGTGCAGAGCTGATTCAGAACCCAGTTGTGCCTCTTACGAGTCCTAAGACCTTGTACCAATGACCTTACTTGCAAGCCTCCATCTCATTCATCTGTAAAATGGGTAAAAGATCCCATTTTTGAGATAAAGAAATGTCATTCTTGTGAGACTTAAATGAGGATGTTTCTCAGTGTGTGCTGTGCCCGGTATGCTGGAGGTGCTATTTAAGTGTTGGGTTTCTACCTCCCTCTGCTCCCTTCCTTGAAGTGTAGGGTGAGCTAAAATAGTGAGGGCAGTGATCTGCCCTGTGAGCAAGACAGGCTGAAGGTGAAAGAGGAAATTGCGGTTGTTTGGGCAAAACCATCATTTCCGTAAAGCCCCATGACCCTCAGCTCTTAAATAGGTCACTAAAATGAAGTCAGAATGTGGGTTCTGTCTGTGAGGGTGACGTTGGGGCTGGCTGTCAGGAGACCGTGTACTTGGAGCTGCTTGTTCTGTAGTGGTCACACTGCTCACATTCTTGCAGTTAACCAGCTGGAAAATGCCAAGGGGAGAGCTCCTTTTTCTGAAGTTTGTCTTTCAGTGGAGTGGAACTGATACGTCATTTGCCAAAGTCTTGAAGTAGTTTGCAAACGACCAGGAGAAATACTTGAATAATGTTTGAAATACTCCTTTAAAAAAAATTGTGGGCCCTAGCCAGTTCGGCTCAGTGGATAGAGCACTGGCCTGTGGAACAAAGGGTCCCAGGTTCGATTCTGGTCAAGGGCATGGACCTTGGTTGCAAGCTCCTCCCCGGCCTCGGCCCTGGTCGGTGCTCCTTCAGGAGGCACCCAATCGATGTGTTTCTCTCATATCGCTGTTTCTCTCTGTCTTTCTCTTGCTCTTCCACTCTCCCTAAAAATCAATGGAAAAATATCCTTGGGTGAGGATTAACAAAGAAAAAAAACATTGTGATAAACAATTATACATACATAACAAAATTTACCACTTTAACTATTTCTAGGTCTACAGTTCTGTGGTGTTGAGCACATTCACATTGTTGTGAAACCATCACCACCATTCAACCCAAAACTTAAAAAATTTTTTTTTATTAATCCTCACTTGAGTATATTTTTCCCATTAATTTTTAGAGAAAGTGGACGGAAGGTGGGGGGGAGAGAGAGAGATTGATGTGAGAGAGACACATTGATTGATTGCCTCCCGCACATGTCGAACCTACAACCCAGATATGTGCCCTTGACCGGGAGTCAAACCCACAATCCTTCAGTGCACAGACCGATGCTCTATCACTGAGCCATGCTGGTCAGGGCCAACTGTGTCCCCATTAAACACTAACTCTTCATTCACTCCTTCTCCCAACTCTTGGTGACCAGCATTCTCCTTTCTGTCTCTATGAATTTTACTACTCCACATGCCTCATATAAGTGGAATCTATATATATATTTTTACTGTCTTATATTTTCAATTACTCCCTACCAGGGACTGTTCTACAAACTCTTGCTTTTCTCTGAGATTTACTTGTAAATTTGCATTCTACCTTCTTCACTATGTGTGTATGATGTTTGCATTTTTACCCTATTGCAGGAAAATACCGGTCATAGGAAATGATTTGTTGGAGTGGTTATTTTATTTTTAAACATAGCACTTTATTGACTCAAGAAGATTTTAGGTGATGCTACACTGAGTACAGAATCAGATCCTATCTTTGCCTAGTGGGTGGCTTCTCAAAAATAAAACGACAAGTTCTCTCTTTATCCCCTCCCCCACCCTTTACTCCCCAAAGAAGAGAGCATAAGAATATGTTTGTATAAGAGGTTGGTAACAGCGGAGAGGAGGGGCCAGTTAGTAGGGATTGTGAACGTTGCCTTAGGCTCTTCAGTTCAAAGATAACCTCTCACTTTCTCCTTGTAGGTGGTACACCCTGAAATCCAAACCAGGAAAGAAGGATAAAGAGCGAGGAGAAATCGAGGTTGACATCCAATTTATGAGAAACAACATGACTGCTAGCATGTTTGACCTGTCCGTGAAAGACAAGTCTCGGAATCCATTTGGGAAACTGAAGGACAAGATCAGGGGGAAGAATAAGGACAGTGCATCAGACACCGCTTCAGCCATCCTCCCCAGCACATCACCCTCTGTCGACAGCGACGATGAGTCGCCTTCGAAAGACAAGAAAAAGAAGTCAAAGATCAAGACCTTGTTTTCCAAGTCTAACTTGCAGAAAACACCACTTTCCCAGTCCATGTCTGTCCTGCCTACTCCAAAGTCAGACAAAGTGCTGCTGCGTCCTGGGGAGTTTCAGTCCCGGTGGGAGGATGATGACGAGGATGAGTCCTCCTCTGCCTCGGACAGTGAGTTCCCTCCTCGTCTTACTTGGCCTCTTCCCCTCAGCTTAACTTACTTTGCTTTGAGAGAGAAAAAAACCACACAAATCTTAAGGGAAAGATTTTAATTGATGTTTCTCAGTCATTGATGTTTCTGACTCTCTCTATCTCTCTCCCTTCCTCTCTGTGAAAAATCAATAAAATATATTTTAAAAAAAACACAAAAAAAACCCCCAAAATGTCTGGTTCTATAACTGATGTACATTAGTACAAGCGTCTAGATGAGCGGTTCTCAACCTGTGGGTCACGACCCCTTTGGGGGTCGAACGACCCTTTCACAGGGTCACCTAAGACCATCGGAAAACACATATATAATTACATATTGTTTTTGTGATTAATCACTATGCTTTAATTATGTTCAATTTGTAACAATGAAAATACATCCTGCATATCAGATATTTACATTACGATTCATAACAGTGGCAAAATTACAGTTATGAAGTAGCAATGAAAATAATTTTATGGTTGGGGGTCACCACAACATGAGGAACTGTATTAAAGGGTCGCGGCATTAGGAAGGTTGAGAACCACTGGTCTAGATCGAACAACATGAGTGCATCCAGGTTTGTTTTGTGTTTTTAAAGAATATATATTTTTATTGATTTCAGAGAGGAAGAGAGAGGGAGAGAGAGATAGAAACATCAGTGATGAGAGAGAATCATTGATCGTCTACCTCCTGCACGCCCCCTACTGAGGATCGAGCCCACAACCTGGGCATGTGCCCTGACTGGGAATCAAACTGTGACCTCCTGGTTCATAGGTCAATGCTCAACTACTGAGCCACACCAGCCGGGCAGGTTTTTTTTTTTTTTAATTTAAGGTTAAACCATGGAACATTAGTGACATTTCATTAATTCATCAGGTATTTATTGAACTATTATTGTACTAAACCTCATGGGATAAATCCATAATGAAAGCTGAGGAAAATCCAGTTCCCTTTAGTCTGAATTAACTGTGTATTTTGAACTGCAATTTCAATGATCAAATCCCTACTGTTGGCCAGATTCTGTTACTCTACCAAAAGTGCTGCCCTTTTCATGGATTAAATGCAGGGTTTCTCAACCTTAGCACTGCTCATAGTTTGGGCCAGATAATTCTTTGTTGTGGGGGGCTGTCCCATGCATTGTATGATCTTTGGGAGCATCCCTGGCCTCTACCTGTGACAACCGAGAATGTATTCAGGCACCGACAAAATCCCCCTCCCTCCAGTTGTGGGCCAGTCGTTTAACTTCTTATTCCCTTTTGCCTTTGTTTTCCTTCCCACAGTCATGTCTCACAAGAGAACAGCAAGCGCAGATCCTAAGCAACTGAACCAGGTCAACCTCACCCTTCCCAAGAAGGAAGGGCTCTCTTTTCTTGGCGGCCTTCGGTCCAAGAACGACTCGCTCTCCCGCTCTAATGTCTGTATCAACGGGAACCATGTTTACGTGGAGCAGCCAGAAGGCAAGGCTGAGGCGAAGGACAGCACCTCCTCTTCCCCATCCCCTCAGGGCTTCAGGAAGAAGCATTTGTTCTCCTCGACAGAAAACCTGTCTCCTCGGTCCTGGAAGGAACCTGGGGAAGGGAGCGCCGTGTCTCCTGACAAGTGGCTCTCTGAGTCTTCCACAAAGAACTCTCCGAAATCCACCACCCTGCCGCCCTCCTGGCCGCCGGTCAGCGGGGACATGAGGGAAAACACAGCTCCAGCGAAGTTGGAGGCCGTGAAAGAATCCAAAGAGAGCAAGAAGCATGAGAACAAGAAGTCCTCTTTGCTCTCTCTGGTGACAGGAAAGAAGGATGTGGCCAAGGGCAGTGAAGGCGAAAGCCCTGCTTCCACCCCTGGGAAGGAGCAGGAGGGCCCGCTGAGGGAGGACGGGCCGGGGCCTGCTGAGGGTCTTGGGAAGAGATCTGAGAAGGATACGATGGCCGCCGTCTCCGGACGGGGAAAATCCCTGAACCCCTTTGAAGAAGGGCGGAGCACAGAACCGGCAGCTGACCCAGAGCCCAAGTCTGAACGGACACCGCCTGTTACCTCTGCCAGGGCGCCCCAGACCAAAGCCGTGAAACCTCGGTGAGTCTTGGCCCTTCATGTGTGATATTCAGACCCAGGAGATGGATGCTGTGGGTGTAGCAGATTCTGAGTGTTGCACGTTGGGAACACCAGGTTTCGGTTGTGGTATGTGCAGGACTGGGTGTAAGTTCTTCACACCTCTCCCTTCGAGGCTGATGTTATCTCTCCTTGCACATTTTGCTGTCATTAGAGACCCTTGGTCACACTCCTGTGACAGTTCTCTGCGTGTTTACTCTGCATCTTGTTGCAAGAGCCTGGGAGTTTCTGCTTGTCAGCATGACTCATTCACTCGCAGTGTTTCTGTGGTCTGGGTTGGGAGAGGCTTGTATTTGAGATTCTGCTTACTGTGATTTCACACAGACACACACAGGCTCACACAGACATGCATAGATGGTTGCTCTTCAAAATGTGTGCGTGTTGCCCTGTGGTGGATCTTTTACTGCTTTGAACTTTCTAGATGCTTTCTGTGTGTCACCAAAGGGAACTGTGGGCTGCCCTACCTGGTTTGGCTCAGTGGATAGAGCGTTGACCTGCGGACGGAAGGGTCCCGGTTCAATTCTGGTCAAGGGCGCATACCTGGGTTTCGGGCTCGATCCCCAGTAAGGGGCTTGGAAGAGGCAGCCGATCAATGATTCTCTCTCATCATTGATGTTTCTATCTCTCTCTCCCTCGCCCTTCCTCTCTGAAATCAATAAAAATATAAAAACAACAGCTGTGGGCTGTCACTTTACCTGGATCTTTCTGTTCCTGTTGCAAAGCCCTCTGTGTGGCAGGTGTGCTCGGTGATGAAAAGTGTCCCTGTTGTATATTAAGTATTGGTGTGTTCCTTCTTTAACTTCTTAAGGTACTGCCCCACATATAACAGTAAGTTCTCCCCTTTGGACGACTTTGCTTTTACATGTTTTTTCGCCTCTCATGCAGCATCTGCAACTGACCGGCAGATTTTATTTTGTCCTTTTTGCAGACTGGAAGTGTCTCCAGAGGTTCAACCCACAGCCAGGCTTCCTCCTCCCCCTGACTCCCTTCCCTTTATTTCTGCTCTTCCTTCCAGTCCCGCTCAGACACCTGTCTCTCCTGAGTCGGGGCGTGAGGCAGAGACACAGTCCTCAGAATCTCCTTCTGTCTTCTCCGCTTTCTCCCCTCCCCTTGCAGCTCCCATTTCCACATCCACGCCTATCACAAGCTGGCCTTCCACCGAGCAGGGCCAGGCTGGTGCTGAGGAACCGTCGGTGCCCCTTGACGCAGAGGTGCAAAAGGAGAGTTTAACACACGTTCCAAGCGCTGTTTCTTGTGCCCGGGGCTCACTTCCCAAACAGCCACCCACGGCGGTGTGGAAAGGGACGGAGGCGGCTCCAGCGGGGAAGACCAGTGAGACGGACACAGAGAAGGATACCAGTGGCGATGACTCAGCACAGTGTCCCCCGAAGCAGCCTGAAATGGGGCAGCAAGAAGAACCTCCGAGGTTTCCCCCCAAAAAGCAACAAGACTATCCCCCTGCATCAGAAGGGGCCCGAGAAGTAACGTCGGCCCTTTCAGCGAGAAGCGGCAGGACGGGAGGCCCAGCTGGGAAGCCTCCAATGGGGGTAAAGACAGACTTGGAGAGTCGGTCTGGGTTTTTTGAGGAGGACAGAGTGAGGGGTGGGGAAATGACTGCCACAATCAAACAGGCGGTACCCCCTCTTCGAATGGGAGAACCGGTCCTCCCACTTCACTCCACCATGCGAAGGCACGAAGAGATGGGTCTAAATGGCAGTGAGGGCCCGAAGAAGATCAAGAAGCACGTGTCATTTTCTGAGCAGCTGTTTAGGGAAGAGGAGGCGGAGAAGTCCCCTGGACTGGTCGGAGAGGACGAAAGTCATCCCCAGGAGCTGGGGTGTGAAGGGGCTGCTGCCGGCGACGTGTGTGACACAGAGCCTGCTGAGTGTCCCCACGCAGAAGACTCCGAGGGGGAGGCTGTGACTGAGCCCCGGCCGCTGAATTCCGGTGTGCCAGCTGCCATGGCCCGTCCCCTGCTGCCCCCCTCCCACGAGGACAGTGACTCAGAAGGCCCAGGGAGTGAAGCCAGCTCGGGGCAAGGCATGGAGGGAGACGATACTCTTCTGGCTCAAAATCAGAGCAAAGCCAGTGATCACGAAGGCCTGTTGTCTGATCCCCTGGGTGACCTTCAGTCTGCCTCAGATGTTAAATCTCCAGTCACGGCTGATCTGGACTTAACCCTTCCTTCCATTCCTGAAGTGACTTCAGATGATGAAAGAGTGGACGAGGTGGAAGATGACAGGGAGGCAGCCAAGGTGGCAGCTATGGGGGGAGGAGCTTCTTCCCGGAGCAGGTCACCTGCCCATCCCGAGAAGGCGCCGGGTGGCGGGGCAGGTGGGTCGGCAGTGCCCGCAGACAGCCTGCGTGAGCTCAGGTCGGAAGCACCGGAAGCAGCTGTCAGGGCTTCTTCGGAGCACACCACAGCTTCAGGAATTCTTAAACCAAGTCTTGGCAAGAGCTCACGCTTGGACACCCAGCAGCCAGGCCCTGGCGATGGCGAGGAGGCAGAAGTGATGGGAAATGGGAGGTTAAGGCAGCCTCCTGCCCCGGCCCTGGACTCTCCTCCCTCCAGCCCCTCCTTTTCTGAGCCCTCTCCTGCCACACACTCTCCCCCTAGCTCCCCACACTCTGACACTCCCCACACCAGTACAGCAGAATCTCAAAAAAAAGCAGCAGCAGAGGGCCTCCCTGGTAAAGTGGAAAATTCTGGCAAGAGGAAGCCGCTTCTTCAGGCCTGGGTCTCACCCTCGGAGACACATCCAGTCTCAGCTGGAACTGGGTCAGCCAAGCACAGGTGAGAGTCGGGGGAGATTGTCTTCATAAACTTGAGCAATGTCCCCTTTGCTTTTTGCCTGCAGAGGTGGTTATGGCTTTCTAACCGCACAGATGTTCTGACGGTGCAACCCACCTATTTTGCTGGTAGGGCCTGTTTTATAAGGGCTATCTCCTGTGGTGGGAACACCTGGAGACACTCCTGTGTTTGTAGCGAGAATGTAGTGGTAGTCTTCAAAAATAGTTTAGGAATGATTCTGCACAGATTTGGAGCTCTAAAATAGCAGAGATGCACTGTGATGAGTATCTTAATGGTCTCAGAAGCCAACTGAGATTGAGCGGTAGAACCAAGCAGTGTTTTAAAGTTCCACCGCTCAGTGTGAAGCTGGCATGTTTGTTCTGAATTCTTTCTTTACTGCCGAAGAACAGAAGGCTTTGTAAGGGCTCCCACAGTGGAGTCCTAGGCTCTAGTTGCCTCCAAAAAATAAGAGACTGCCTTTAATGTTCTCCTGACGTTGAGAATGAGGACAAGGGGCTTGTGAGAATGTCAGGACGCCTGGCTCGAAGGGTGTGCATTGTTGGCTTGCATTTGGCTGCCTGGAGCTGACTGCTTTCCTTTCTACAGGAACATTGGCGTGTGTTAGAGCGGAGATGTGAACAGCGCGTCACCACTCTCCGCCCTCGTCTCTCTGGCTGGCTGTCATCTTTGAGATGGGCAGTTTCTCAGCTTTCCCGTTACAGAAAGCACTAAGGATCCTTTCTCCCTTCTCTTTAGACCTCATCTTGTGAAGCCAATGAACACGAGAGCCACCAAGATTACTAACTCCAGCTTGGGAACTGCCACTATCATCAGTGAGAACTTGATCAACGAAGCTATTATGAAGGTATGTCTTTGCCCAGAAATGGGCATGATAGGGATCTAAAAACCCCCACCCATTTCTAGAGGCACCATTGTATACATCTCCTTGGGCAGCAGGTAACGCCAGGAGTAACTTAACCATATGTCTCATGTCTTCAGAAGCCCCTCCACTTGCCACCGAATGATTATTTTCCCGTAGGGTTATTTGGTTATTGTTGAATTTTTGTGTGACTCAAGTAACATAATTGACATCGGCACTTCTCTGTAATGAGGAGAAAGTGTCACCCACCATCTGGCCCATTCAAATGAGCTAATTTCATTGTCAGGCAGCCTTTCCTACCTTTTGGCAAGGATACAACATTCTTGTAGTTGTAATCATTGCACAGATATACTTTTTTGTAACTTTATTCTGAAATCATTTCAAATTTTCAAAAAGTTACAGGAATAGGACAAAGAACTCCTGTGCAGCTTTCATCCCAATTAACCCATGGTTAACATTTTACCAGATTTGCTTTTTCATTTCCCCTACCCCCTCTTTGTTCTCTGTTTGTATACTCATCCCCCCCGCCCTGCCCCCCCAAGTCATTTGAGATTAAGTTGCTTATATCACACCTCTCTTACCCTAAATACTTAAGTGTGGAATTCCTGAGACTAAGGACATTCAAAATCAAGAAATTTAACATTAATGTGATACTCTTTTTTCATTTATAGTCTATATTTCAATTTCACCAGTTGTCCAAGTAATGTCCTTTTTAGGGTAATGTTTCCTCTAGTCCAGGATCCAATCCAGGGTCGCTCATTATGTAGAATTTGACTTAGTTAAGAATTGCCTGGGATTTCCTCATGGTTTGGTTGAGGTTATACATTCTTGGCAGGAATTAACTATGGAAATAACGTGTCCTTCTTAGTGCATTGTATGAAGAGGCCCATTATATCAGTTTGTACCAGGAGTGGAAGTGTGAACTCTGATGACTTAGTTTGGTGGTGTCCCCCCAGGTTCTCCAGTATAAAGTTGCTATTTTTCCCTTTACAATGAATAAGAAATTTGTGGGGAATTAATTTCAGACTATGTAAACATCCTGTTCCTCATCAACTTTTGATTCATAGGCTTTAGTATCCATTGATGAATATGTCAGTTGCAAAATGATGGTATTTCCAGCTCCATCACCTGCATAGAAACACTTCTTCAATTCTTTTTACTTAATAATATATCATAACCTTTTTTGCATGTTGCTACTTAATTATTCTTGAAATGGTTTTATCATTATTCACTTAACCATTTCCCTATTGTCGGATACTCAGGTTGTTTTCTTTTTTCTTTTTTAAAAATTAAATTTATTAAAGTAACATTGATTAATAACATTACATAAATTTCAAGTGTACAACATTATAATATGTTTTCTGTTTTGCAAGATGAATAACACTACAGTCAACAATTTCTTGCATAGGGCTTTTTCCTTCCCATTAGATTATTTCCTTAAGCTCAATTTCCATGAAAAATATTGCTGGATTAGAGGGTTTCTTCTCTTTGAAAAGCTTAGGCTAACATTAAACAACAACCACCACACAACAAAAAATAAACTCCCTACAAAAACAAAATCAACCTCCCAGATGATTTCTGCTTTGAATGTCCTCATCCTGCCCTTCCTGGTTCTAAAAATGATTTAGAATCCAGCCTTGTTGCAGACCCTGGTCTTTGACTCATTATCACATGGACTGGAGGAGAATGATATACTGAGTGATTGGTGACCATTAGTGGGCAAGGATGTGTTGTGTTTCAAATATGTGGAGAGGAATTTCCTAAATGACTACTGGGGACTGTAGTTGGTAAAAATAAAGTTTATTTATTTTATTTTTTTGTTCATCCTCACCCAAGGATATTTTATTCATTGATTTTTAGAGAGTGAAAGGGAGGAAGAGAGGGAGAGAAGATGAGAGAGAGGGAGGGAGGAAGGGAGAGAGACAGAAAGAAACATTGATGTGAGAGAGGCACATCGATTGGTTGCCTCCCACTCTCACCCCAACTGAGGCCGGGGGTTGAACTTGCAACTGAGATATGTGCTCTTGACTGTGAATGGACCCTGAATCCCATCCACGGGCCAACACTAACCACTAAGCAAACTGTCCAGTGCAGTTTTTGTGTTTTTTTAAAAAATAAAACTTTTTTTGCTCATGACTCCTTCCCTCCTGCAAACATTTTTAAAGTGCTGGGTGGTGGTGGTTGCCTCTGACCGCACTGTACCTACACCACCAGGAGCTGGGCTAAAGGCTCACTGAGGCTGTAGAGCTGAGTTTCAGGCCAAGAGGCTGAGTAGTAATAATGAATTGTGGCTGAAAACAAGTCAGCATCTTCTAGCCATCTTGCCTTCTCTCGAAATTACCAGCTGCAGCCAGAACTGTGTACTTACCTACGATGTTCTAGCCCCAGCCTAAAAATGTACCATAACTTGAGCGGCTCAGCTTGGCTGGGTTCTGTGCTTGTGTAGAAGAGGCAGCACTTGTCTTCCTGGAGTTAACAATATTTACCAGGAAACTGGGCAAAAGAACAGCATAAAAGGGACATGAGAACTAGAGTCATGTCGTGGCCTCCCATCCCCTCTTCCTTTTACTGTGGAATGCAGCTTGGCTCCAAAGAGAAACAACACCTAGCTTTCAGGAAGTTAGCAAGAAAGACCCTTGGCTCTCATTTTATTTACTCTTCAAAGCTTGTTTAACCAGGGGCTTATCTCCTGGCCCTGGCAGAGAGAATAACTTGCCTTAAAACAAAGGCAACTGCTGCTTGACTTGCTCATGATTTGTAAGCCCCACTGCTGTCCCTGTGCCTGCCCGCAGCAAAGCTCTTAGTCCTGGACCATACCTCGTAAATAGTTGAGTCAATATGGAAAGTTTCCTAGAGAATGCTGTTGGCTGGCCATATAATGGATGCTTTGTGCTAACGCATAAACAGTACTTATAAAAAGAACTACTCTTTGGAATGTTGCAAGGTAAGAGAGAGGTTAGAGAAAGAAATTGCATAGCTAAAGTTATGAAAGGCTAGCTGAATCATTACTAGAATGGATTAGGGGGAAGGTATTTTTCTTGGGGCCTCCATCCTTTATAGATGATTTATGCCTAGGCGTGTATTATTTACTCAGGTGGCTTTGACACTTCCATTTAAAAACAATACAGCCAACTACACTCAGAAATCATCTGTCCTGTGATATGGAAAAAAGTTGGACACAATTTGAATATACATCATTATTATTGCAACTGTGCGGGGAAAAAATCCAATGTAAGATCCTGAGAGGAAATATGTGACAATGGGCACTGTTGTTTCTTGAATTAATGGGTATTTTCTTTGCACCTCTTCCTCTTCATGGCCGATGCTCACCTTCTGAAATGCTGAATTGTTCTATAATTTTTTTAAGTCATCACAATCATAGAATCTTCTAATGATTTCAAAGTCCTATATCCCTTTGGAATACAGAATTTAAATTGAATAACTGTTTGGCAGTTTGTATGAAATACCTTAAGTGTGTATGCCTTTTTAATTATACACATTTTTATTAAGGAAATATTTGGAGATGTAACCAAAGATTTATGTTAATACATTTTAATTAAAATGTTATTATATAATTGTGAAAATTGAAAACAACCTAAATACTCAGGGAGAGAGATGGTTAAAATATGATGGAATTTTAAGCATCTATTAAAAAAGCAATTTTTGCTAAAATCTAATGATGGGAAAAGGCTCACAAAATAACAATTTAAAGAAGCTATAAAACTATATCTTGGCCCTAGCTGGTTTGGCTCAGTGGATAGAGCATTGGCCTGGGGACTGAAAGGTCCCATGTTCGATTCCTGTCAAGGGCACATGCCCGGGTTGCAGGCTCGATCCCCAGTAGGGGGCATGCAAGAGGCAGCCAATCAATGATTATCTTTCATCATTGATGTTTCTATTTCTCTCTCCTTCGCCCTTCCTCTCTGAAATCAATAAAAATATATTTTAAAAAACCCCAAAACACTATATCCTGTATGATGTTAAAATTGTAAAGCACACCATAAAGAAACCAAGGAAAAATAAGAAAGAGAATTCTATTGCGATCCTCCCCTAAGGCATCCTGAAAATGCCCAGTCTTTAAAACCCCTCAGAATGAAGGCCCAGCATGCACTTTCCTGAATAATAAATTTAATTAAGGAAATAATTTTAAAGATCAAAAGTAAGCTAATACAGAGTTAGAATTTGGTTCTTTTCCACTTCATCAAAAGGACCAGGGCCTGACCAACGTGGCGAGTGGTTAAGTGACCTATGAACCAGGAGGTCAAGGTTCAATTCCTGGTTAGGGCACATGTCTGGGTTGGGTGCTTGGTCCCCAGTAGGGGGCGTGCAGGGGGGTAGCTGATCCATGATTCTCTCTCATCACTGATATTTCTTTTTCTTTTTTTTAAATTTTAATTAAATCTTTATTGTTCAGATTATTACATTAGTTACTCTTTTTTCCCACCATAACTCCCCTCCACCCAGTTCCCACCCCACCCTCCGCCCTCACTCCCCACCCACTGTCCTCATCCATAGGTGCACGATTATTGTCCAATCTCTTCCCTCACCCCCACACCCCTTCCCCCCCCCCCCCAAGAATAGTCAGTCCATTCCCTTTCTTTTTTTTTTTTTTTTAAATATATTTTATTGATTTTTTACAGAGAGGAAGGGAGAGAGATAGAGAGTTAGAAACATCGATCAGCTGCCTCCTGCACATCTCCCACTGGGGATGTGCCCACAACCCAGGTACATGCCCTTGACCGGAATCGAACCTGGGACCCTTCAGTCCGCAGGCCGACGCTCTATCCACTGAGCCAAACCGGTTTCGGCCCATTCCCTTTCTATGTCCCTGATTCTATTACAATCACCAGTTCATACTGTTCATCAGATTATTTATTCACTTGATTTTTAGATTCACTTGTTGATAGATGTGTATTTGTTGTTCATAATTTGTATCTTTTTCTTCTTCTTCCTCTTCTTAAAGGATACCTTTCAGCATTTCATATAATACTGGTTTGGTGGTGATGAACTCCTTTAGCTTTTTCTTATCTGTGAAGCTCTTTATCTGGCCTTCACTTCTGAATGATAGCTTTGCTGGATAAAGTAGTCTTGGTTGTAGGTTCTTGGTATTCATCACTTTGAATATTTCTTGCCACTCCCTTCTGGTCTGCAAAGTTTCTGTTGAGAAATCAGCTGACAGTTGTGTGGGTATTCCCTTGTAGGTAACTGATTTTCTCTCTCTTGCTGCTTTTAAGATTCTCTCTTTGTCTTTTGCTCTTGGCATTTTAATTATGATGTGACTTGGTGTGGTCCTCTTTGGATTCCTTTTGTTTGGGGTTCTCTGTGCTTCCTGGACTTGGAAGTCTATTTCTTTCAGCAGGTAGGGGAAGTTTTCTGTCATTATTTCTTCAAATAGGTTTTCAATATCTTGCTCTCTCTCATCTTCTGGCACCCCTATAATTCGGATGTTGGTACGCTTGAAGCTGTCCCAGAGGCTCCTTACACTATCTTCGTATTTTTGGATTCTTTTTTCATTTTTCTTTTCCGGTTGGGTGTTTTTTGCTTCTTCGTATTTCAAATCTTTGACTTGATTCTTGCGACCCTCTGGTCTGCTGTTGGGTATCTGTATAATATTCTTTATTTCAGTCAGTGTATGCTTAATTTCTAGTTGGTTCTTTATCACAACATTGAGGGTCTCATTAGATTTCTTGAGGATCTCACTACATTTATTGGCGGTCTCACCAGTCTTTTCGAGGGCCTTGTTAAATTTATCGGCGGCTTCTAGACAGTTCTTTAAAGACCTTAAAAGTGTGGTTTTGAACTCTATATCCAACAGTTTGCTTTCCTCCAATTCTGTCATTTGTGTCCTGTTTCTATGTCTCGGCATTTTTTATGCTTCGCTGTGTGGATAGAGTGCCTTTCTGTGCTAAGTGTCCCAATTACCTGAGGTAGACACTCTTGGTGCACCCCCTTGTGGGCTTTGTGCACAGTCTTATTGTAGTTAAGCCTTGATTGTTCTAGTTATCACTGGGAGGAATTGACCTCCAGGCCAATTGGCTGTGAGAATCAGCTGTGTCTGCAGTGGGAGAACTTCTGTGCTGGAGACACCCCTCTGGGGCTAGACTTGCTTCGATGGGGCTTTGGTGCTCACTGAGTCTGCCCCCTGAGTGTGTCTTTTATGGTTCCTCGGAGCTGCAAACTGGATGGTCCCACTCTGACCTCTGGGCTTCCTGGCTCCTGGATCTCTAGGGAGGTGCTAATCTAGCCTTTGCCTGAGGCTATCCAGCAAAAGCCTCCGTGCAGGGCTTGGGCGGGGCGGGTTCCATGGGATCAACAGGGCGGGGTTAGCAATTATGGCTGCTCTCAGTCTTGCCCTCAGAGGCTCTGCTTCTCTGTGTCCCGGTAATCGCTGCAAGCCCCTCGTAGAGAAAGCTGCCCTAGGGTTCTGAGTGATGCCAGACAGTCCCGCTTCTCCCGTATGAGTCTGGGTCCCTAGAGACTCGCCCGGAACTGGAGCTCAGAGCCTGAGACTCCCTCCCGATTGAAAACGACAACCGCGCCCTCAGCCTCCAGCCCGCTCCGCATGCACTCCGAACCTTAGTATTTCACTTCAGCACTGTGCCTCCTCTGAGTCACGGTATGCTTTTCTCTTTCCTCCTAGTTGTAGAACTTCCACTCAGCCAGCCTTCCTGTGGTTCTGGATGATGTCCGTTCAGTCTTTTAGTTGTATTTTTGAAGTGGTTGTTCGAGGCAGCAAACTCCAGTGTTTACCTATGCCGCCATCTTGGTTTCTCCATCACTGATATTTCTATCTCTCCCTCTCCCTTCCTCTCTGAAATCAATAAAAATATATTTGGGGGGGAAAAAAAAGAAAAATAAGAAAGAGACCCAAACGTTATGTGTTAGAGTTATAGGTAATATTTTCCCCCCACTCCATGATGAGCAGATATTCCTTTTATAATTAAAAACAAAATCCTGTCATTTGGGGGAGGAAATTAATGATAATTCATCTCCAAGGTCTGATTCAGATGTCACTCCATCTTTGAAGTATGTCCAATCACCTGCATAGCAGTGTTTCCTGTTTGTCCAGGTCCTAGAGCACATTGTACCTCTCTGACCGACCTCTGGTTATGGTCATTGAACCCCTCTTTTGTATTTCTTTTAGCTATTTAGACTTCTTTGCTGACTTTACGTTTTTTCCCCTCTTCTTTCCTCTCCAAAGAAATACACCCCCTCGGACCCTGCTTTTGCTTATGCACAGCTCACCCATGATGAGCTGATCCAGCTGGTCCTCAAACAGAAGGAAACAATAAACAAGAAGGAGTTCCAGGTGCGTGAGCTGGAGGACTACATCGACAACCTGCTCGTCAGGGTCATGGAAGAAACCCCCAACATCCTCCGAGTTCCGGCTCAGGTCGGCAAGAAGGCAGGGAAGATGTGAATGGCCAGCACATGACACTGAGACTTTTTTGTGAGTTTCTTTCCACTTCCTCCTGAGGTCAAGGACTCCGTGTGCCTGATAACCAGCCTAAGGCCCCAAGTTGCCACCTATCTCCCTTGCGTGTTATCTGGCAAGAGTCAATTCTGCCAGTGGAAGCCAGGTTACTTATTACAATGAGTCCTTTACTGTACGTTCCCAGGGTTTTATTTTTAAATGCCACTGTGCCTTATGTTGTGAATATTTTATGCCCTGAAAAACATGGTCATAAGATCTGATCCTGGCCCAGAGAGTCAAGTGGCACCAGGGGTATTAATGTATTTTAACTTCGGGGTTTCCTTTCTTTGATACTGAGATTCTAAAATACGTATCCCCCAGCCATTAACGCTCGGGGTGAAATGAGAAGGTGCTGCGTTACACATACTTTCTTGGCTTTTGAGTAGCTCAGGTGTGTCTGTTTGGCTGCAGAGGTTAAATTTTGATACCACATCAACCTCCTGCGCTTCTTAGACTTGGTCCTGCTTTGACCAGAGCAGAGGAGTTTAGGGAAAGCCCTGAGTGTGCCTTTCGGATTTGTAACAAGTTGCCTTTTCTAAACACACTTCCATTACTCTCTAGCCTTAAAATGTGCTCTTGAGAAGTAGAACAGGGGACTGAGAGAGTCACTTGGCACTCATTCGGGGGGGCTGGTGCAAGTCCCTCCTCCCATAATAGCAGGGTTCCTGCTGGCTGGATTGGCCTAGTCAGGGCCTTATAAGGGATTGGGTGACCCAGGCTTCCTAAAACAGTTCCACCAGGTATGGGATAGTTTTAGTAGGATTCCTGTGGCCTTTCCTCCTGTGCCTCGGCTCCCTGCTTTCCCTGGCCATTCTTCCTGGCATTTGCCCCTTTGTTATAAAATGGTAAAGAGCAAGAAAATGATACTTATTTTGGAGTTGCTTATTTTTAAAACTAGATTAACACACATATTTTTAAACATTTAAACATTAGGAAACTTGGTCGGTATTATTAATCTTTTTCTGTTGTTAATCCTCACCTGAGGATATTTTTCCATTGATTTTTATTTTTTAGACAGAGAGTGGAAGGGGGGGCGGGGAGAGAGAGAGAGAGAGAGAGAGAAACATCAATGTGAGAGAGATACATGGATTGGTTGCCTCCTGCACACACCCTGACCAGGGCAGGGGAACCTGCAACTGAGGTACGTGCCCTTGACTGGAATCGAACCTGGGACCCTTCAGTCTTCAGGCTGTTGCTCTAGCCACTGAGCCAAACCACCTAGGGCTCTTAATCTTAATGAATAGTACCAGTTCAAATTCTTCAGGTAATATCATTGTTAGTAACCTAATATTGCAATTAGAATGTTTCTGTATTACTCATTTTTTCCTCCTGGTTGTGATGGAATCTCACCAATCTTGACCTCTCTCCTGGGGGAGGAGTATCACCGGCCAGTGGGGTGGGCAGGGATGGCAGTACTAGCCGGCATTAAATTGGGAATCTCTTCTTCGCATGTTCTTGTTATATTGAGGTTAAGAGGCAAGATTGCTGGCAGCAGAATTCCTTTCAGGATCATGTTTGCTGCAACCTTAGTTATATTGGAGCACTTTAATCTGAAGGATGATACTGTAACTTGATTTATCTGATTAGTTTTTAACTACCTATAGCTATTGTATTTAATACTCTCCTACAGTACTGGGGACCACTGTAAACTTCTCAGATGCCTTGTATTTTTGTAGTGCTATGACATTTATGTACATACCTACAAAGAGAACTGTATATCCACTTGAACTCTGAAAATGTACATGTATATATTTGTTCCACGACATGTTTTTTACTTGATATAAATGTGTTTTGACTGTGATAACCCAAGTGCCCCCGGGGGGCAGGTGAGTGCTGAATGGTTTCTCTTCTGAAGGGCTGGTGTGGAGACCTGCACTGTTCAGGAGGGGTTGGTTTGGAGGTTGCTGCTAGGACCTCGGTATGTATCTTGGTCGGTGTTTGAGAGGGGCACTGGGCGGAGGAGTGAATTCCTGTGCTCTGATATGCCACTTGGGAACTCTGGAGAATGAAGGACAATTTACTTCAAGGGTGTCTGGTTTCTACCACTGCTGGGGAAAAATTCAATTGATAGCATTCCTGTCCCTCTCCAAAGTAGATAGCCTGAAGGTCACTCGTTAATGACTGTCCTTGAGGACTCTACTTGGAGGGAGAATTTATCTAAGAAAAGCTTTAACCTGCTCTGAGCCATTAGCAGAGCAGTGGTGAGTTGGAGCACTGGACTCCGATACCTGGCACATGTCTGAAGGCCTGTGCCCATCTCTACAGGACTGGGACCTGCCTCTAGCTGCTGTGAATGCTACCCTACCTGACGGGCCCTGGGAAGAGGCTGTGCTCTGGAGCAGCAGGGGGCAGCTGCCTTCTTGGCCTTGCCTAGTTGCCTCCAGAGAGAACAGTCAGTACTTTAGGGAAGCATCTGATTAAAAGCAAACACCTTGCAATGAATTTCAGCTGGAGGTCAGCTCCATGAATAAGATGTCAACTCTTTGCTTGGTTGTTTCATATCATCTCATTCCTTGGACTTTGACAGGTGTCCTGCCCTTCCCTTTTATCCTTGCGTGTTAACCTCATCAGGGTAGCAGACTGGAGAAGCAAGAAAGTGTGCCCTTTGCCATGTGGAACAGCTGTTGACCTGAGTGGAAGGGTGTGTGCACATATGCATGAACCAATGCGATACATGTGTGTGGTTCCAGCTTTGCTAACAGTGGGAGCTCAAAAGGGCATCAAGGGAGGAAGGTCCATGTCACTCAGCCACAAACTGTATTGAAGGCCAGAGGCTATTTAATGTTAAATTATGCAGGATCTTTCCTCACTGGGTCCCTCTCCCAGTTGACTCTTTTTTCTTTTTTTAGAACTACAAATAAATAATCGCTCAAGGCTGAAAGATTAATAGTCTTAGGTGGAGAACATAATCTAGTATCCATGCCAACCTCAACCCTGCGGTTTCTCGGTATCTGTTATGTGAGCTACAAACCTGACCTCTTCCTCCCTCCGACTCTTGAAGGATCGTCCAGTGTTTTTGGATTATAGAGTTATTTCCTGCTTTGTTACTTTGGGAATTTTGAATCTTCTGATTTTGTTTGTAAGAAGTAACCTAAAATTTCCTACAACACTAAATAAAATGGTACTACCTGTCAAAGATTTCGTGTCTGTGGTTTAGTAGGGCACAATAAAAATTCCTTCTGTCTTCCTGGCCAACTTCCCTTGGGGGTGACCAGTGTTTCTCACCCTCTGAGAATCTCTCACCTGGATTCCTACTGCAGCCACCTTGCCTGGTGCCCAGGGGTCCCAATGCCCTTTCTACTCCAGAGAATGGGACATCTCTGATCCCTTCTCTATGACACACCCACATCTTGGCCTGCTGCAGGGACCATAGGCTCTCAGAGAGGGAGAGAAAGCTGCTTCTGTCCTTGCATATCAAGAGCTCACTTCAGGCTAAACTTTAACTGCAAAGGGAAGGCCCATTTACTGAGTTCCCACTGATCACTAAGAACATCCACCCCTAGCCACCCACTTGGTCTGTAGATTTCTCTAAGTAATGCTACACATGCTCATTCTTGGGGGGTTGGAGGGGGGAGAGAGAAATCCTAAATTACCTCCCAAGAGGTAACGCTGTTATTTTGATTTGTTGTCGCAGCATTTTCCCCTCATACAAATAGGTACATTTTTAAATGAAGGTAATGTTAACGTAAAAAAAACATTGAAACCTGTAAAGAATTTTTGTGAGTTTATTTGAGCCAAACTGTCGACATATGCCGGGAAGCAGAACCTCAACGAATTGAGATAATGCTCTGGAGAATGGCGGGGTTACATTTGTATTTATACATTGCAATCAAAGGAGGGACATAGGTGGGTTACATGAAATTCATTGGTGATAGATTAAGGAGGAGGGATAAGCAAAGCAGGGAAACCCCTGGGATTGGATAAAAAGTAAAATGATGGACACATACTTAGGTGGGTGCAGGAACAATTAACATGATGATGAAGGAATTTGTGGTATCTGTCCTGGCGCCCAACATATTTGGTTGTGCCCCAGGGGCTCCAGAAAAAGGGAAGTTACAAGTTACCCAGACATTTCAAGGGTATGTTATCATAGATGCAAAAAGACAGATAGGCTCAGTTAAGGTAAAGGTTGACCTTGTCAGTGAAGATACTGGCCTAGGACGTAACTGCCCACCATAACTGCTTTTAGTTAAAGTTTAATTTCAGACCATCCTTTGTGGTTACTTTATTTTTTTATTTTTATTTTTTAAATATATATATTTTATTGATTTTTTACAGATAGGAAGGGAGAGGGATAGAGAGTTAGAAACATTGATGAGAGAGAAACATTGATTAGCTGCCTCCTGCACACCCACTACTGGGGATGTGCCCGCAACCATGGTACATGCCCTTGACCGGAATCGAACCTGGGACCCTTCAGTCCACAGACTGACGCTCTATCCACTGAGCCAAACCGGCCAAGGCTGTGGTTACTTTAGGTCTCTGAGTTTGCAAGACTGCCATGCAGGCCTCCCCTGAGCTTGTCAGGTCAGCATGTGGCCCCTTTCGTTCACAATGAGAACACACAGTACAGACTGTTCAGAACATTTCTGCATGCCTTTAGATAATCTGCAACAGGGACCGATAGTGATTCTGGGGGAGAATCGGTCCAGCTAACCACCCTCACCACAGAAGAGCTGCAGCAACTGCAAAGATGATGTAGGTCACTTCCGCATCACTTCCTGCTCAGGTCATCATCACAGCCCCCTGTGAACCAGAATGAGGATTTGCTGGGGGGGGGGGGCCGGGGGGATGGGCATCCTGTTCCCCGCCCTCATGGAAAACTGTCACTTACAGGGTGTTGTTACCACTCTTAAACCTTAGCCAAGGCGTCAGCAGCATGGGCTCCCTTAGCCCTGGAACCTAGTCTCTAAGCAAATGGATCCCATGCCTGAGGCTTCTCATCAGTTAACATCTTTTGCGATCCAGTCTTCCCCCTGCTGGGAGGACAGGAGCTGTCACTCCACGTTCAAAACTGGCTTCCTTGAGCTCTGGGGCCAGCATATCCCAAAGCCACAAAGTCTCCTGAGGGAGAATGTCCTCACTTAGCCTTTTTACGTTCAGCTATTTCACACGGGCATGTGTATCCTGAGCCCTGGAAATAGGCACCTTGGTGACAGTGATAGGCTCTCACAGAGGGAGAGAAAGCTGCTTCTGTCCTTGCATATCAAATGCTCACTTCAGGCTGAAACTCGACTGCAAAAGGAAGGCCCGTGTACTGAGTTCCTACTGTTCCCCAGGCACTGACGCTGCTGTTTCTAATTCTCATCAAGGAAGATAAGATCTCCATTATGCAGATGAGTCCTAGAGAGGCATCAGGACTTTAGTTTGCCAAGGGTCAGACAGCGAGTAGTTCAGAAAGAACTGGGACGCATGTGTCTGACCTGGAGGTGTGGGACAGGGGGCAGCAAATATGGCCTGTTTCCTGTTTTTGTACAGCCATCAAGCCAAGAATGATTTTTACTTTTCTTTTTTCTCAACTTAAATAATAACTAGAGATCTAATACTCAGAGTCATAACCACAGTCAACAACACAAGGCTGAATACTGGTTATTTTTATATTTTTTAAATGATTGTAAAAAATTAAAATGAAGCTACATGAAAATTACATGGAATTCAAATTTCAGTGTCCACAGTTTTATTGGCATACAGTCATGCTCATTTGTTTACGTCCTTGTCTATGACCATTTCCACGTTACAACAACAGCCTAGAGTTGTTGCAACAGAGACTTTATCATCTGCCAAACCTAAATATTTGCTAGTTGGCCCTTTATAGAAAAAGTTTCCTGACCCCTAGTCTAGGATCACTGGGGAGCCAAGGAGATAATGTTCAGATTCGCTTGGAATCCTGGAGGGTTGGAGCAGGCAGAGATAATGGAGACCATAAAGATGAGGCCACAGAGGCCACAGACAGACTCCTTGAGGAGGGCAGTTCCAGGTAAGGTGACTGCTGTCCGTGCTCTCAGTCTGTGCAGCGATGTGGGCCTGTGTCCACCTCCTTAGAGTTACCAGATGCCTGTGTTCTTAGGAGTTTGAGAAATTGAAAACATTAATCTTCATCCCAGGAGAGGGAAGTGTGTTGGAGTCACAGAATAAATAATGCAAAAGGGAAAAGTGAATACGAGTGAGGAAAGTTATTTGGCGCCAGGATCTAGGAAGTCCTGGCCACGCTGTGTGCTGTGGCCGTCCCCTGTGAGTGCTGGAGAAGAGTGACTCTCCACTGCAGAGCCGAGGTGGTGGAAAGGGAAAGAAAGGATCGCAGGCCTGAACCACTGCCAGGCTTAGTGGGAGAGAGACGAGAGTGTTCTCAGGGCTCAAGTGAAACTGGTATAGAGTGACATTTCAGTCAACTGAGCTGGGAGGAGCCCAGGGGTGAGGCTGCCCAACCCCCCTGGTTACTTGCTCTGGATTGGAATGATCCTGCCTCTGAGAAAGTCTATGTGTTGCTCCTGACAGGAGTTGAACAGCTCTTAACTGAGTGCCAGCCCTCGCTCTAGGAGGTGTTCCCAGGACACAGGGATGAAAAAGCCAGATCATTTCCTCAGAGACTTGCAACCAAAAGGAAAGTCCGACAGGTAAACAACTAACTAGAATGTAGAATGCACACCTCTCACCGAGGGAGGACTGGTGGAGAGCTTCCTCCGGGCCCCACACCATCAGTGCCTTCTTCTTTGGTCTCCTCTCTAGGAAGAGCTCTGGCCAAAGGTCAGTATTTCGCACCTGAACCATGGCTGGGTTGGCCTTTCCAACAGCCTTCCCTCCACAGTAGCTTCCTGCTCGAGTCCAGCCCGTTCTGGGCATTCAGCATTCTAAGAGCCTGTGTGTCAGGTACCATGTGAGCACTGGTGATGCAGAGATAAGAAACATGGCTCCAGTTTCACAGATGGGGGATGGGGGAGAAGGGTTTGAGGAACATCTGTTAAACAGACAATTACTCTCATTGAATGATGGTAACTCTTAGGCGTATTGGTAGCTGTGGGAAGGGCACCAAGGGTGACGTATCTGTCCTGATTTCCCAGAGGAAGGCAAATACATTTCTTAAATAAATTGATTTCTTCTTGGGAAAGCGCAGAATCCCAGACTTATACGTCTTAGTAGAGTGCGCCATCTTCTGGCCTGGTCCTGCCCACCTCCCAGCCTGTTAGTGTGTGAGGCCCAGGTCTTCTATGCTCTCACACACTTGCGACTGGAAAGAGAATCACCCCTCCACCCCTTACAGTTGCTGGTTGGAGGATCATAAAACAGCTCTTTCCACTTTACTATGTGTCATGTGGGGGAAAGTAGAATTTTAAAACTTCTGTCATGGGTACATGATTGTAATAAAACCCCACTCCTAAAAAATGCAATTATGTTCAAGATCCACACAAAATTAGGGTTGAGAGGAGTCTTATGCTGGTCTTGTATGATAATGTAAAGAGCTACTCTCAATGCCAATTATGTTATTTTTAGGGACATGTTTCCCTCCTCAGTAAGAATGTCGACTGTACTGTCTAAAACTAATTCAGAAATTCTGAGATGTGTGTGTGCACATGAGCATGCAAGTGTGTCTCAATATCTATCTGCTGGACAACCAGAAATAAATCCTCATTACATACATCACACTAGTAGGGAAGTCTAGGAGAGGGGGGGATTTGGAATGCCCAAGGCTAATGCTTGGATTATAGACAACATGCAATATTTTTTGTCATATATACCCTTGCTCTGCATTGCAGTCCAGGGAACTCACAGTTTCATTGGGCATAGAGGCAGCTTTCTATATCTGACATTGATTATAGCTTTTTTCAAAAGAACCTATAGTTCTGTCTGATTAAATCTCATTCTTGAGGCTCAAATACTCTGTATGAGGACTCACTGGATACATGTCATTGTGTAGATTTGACTCTTCAGACTAATAGGCACCATTTTTCTTCTGAAAAATTTCAGCTCTAGGATGCATAATACTTTATTAATCTTCTAAAGAAGGCTGCAGTAACCTGTATCTCATTCCTCAAGGGAGTATCCCTTATTTGTTAAGGGGCTGACAAGACACCCTTACCTTTTAATTCATTCTGCACAGGAGCCATTCAGTGATTTCTCTTCTCAGTGGGAAGGGATGAGTTCATTCTGCAAGGCTGAAATTGAGCCCACAACAGCTTCTCAAATGTACTAATGCCAGAGGCCTCCCTGAAACTCTCCATTGTCAGCCTGAGAAAAAGAAATTCTCCACACTTGTTATGGTGACTCCCATCTACTTTTTTGGAGTCATTAGGACAGGCCCTGGCTGTACTTGTCATTTGATTCAACTTTCTTACTTTTCAGACACAACCGGTTCTAAAACTTCAGAAAATTTTGTTCAAGATTCTTTGATCTATACCAGCAATTTTTCAACCAGTGTGCCAGTTGTGAGCAATACCTGACTAGTCAGGGGCACTGACTTCTTTGCCCTTAGATTGTCAAATTAAAAAATGACAACAGCCAACACAATAGCTGTCCAGTGTGAAAGAATCAAAATTACATTTTTTTTGACAGATTGGCAAAAATTACAATCTACTTTTGGGTGTCCTGCAGAATTTTAGTAATTACTTTGTGTGCCACGAGATAAAAAAGGTTGGAATTCGCTGATCTATACTATACCAAGCTAAGAATTTCGGAGCCAGAATCTTGAAGAATCTTAAAGCTCAAGCTTTAAAAAAACACACAAACCCTTACCTGAGGTATGTTCCTTCCCCTTTTCCCTCATTGATTCCAGAGAGAGAGGAAAAGAGAGGGAGAGAGAAAAACAAACAAACATTAATTGGTTGCCTCCTACATGTGTCCTGACTGGAATCAAACCCATAACCTGGTATGTGTCCTGACTGCCCTGACTGGGAATGGAACCAGTGACCCTTTGGTGCATAGGACCTCAAACCACTGAGCAACACTGGCCACACTTAAAGCTCAAACTTAGCTTTAAAAACATCTGAATTTTCTTGAACTCTTCAGTTTGTCAAAGTCCACACTACTTCTTTCACTCCAACTCCCTGAGACATTTTTTGCCTAGCCTTGCCTTGCCACTCTGGATTTTAATTCTACTCCCTCATTCTACAGTTGACACAAACAGACTGCAAAGAGGAACAACAACTTGCTTGGGAAAGCCGCTCTAGAACCTAGAATACAATTTCCTACTCTCTCACTAGACTACTCTCCCTTTTAGGCACTTTGTTCTATGACCAAAATCAACATTTGTTACCAAAGAGAAATGGAACCTGGTTTGGCTCACTGGATAGAGTGTCATCCTGTGGACTGAAGGGTCCCAGGTTCAATTCCAGTCAAGGGCACATACCTTGGTTGGGTTGCAGGCTCCTCCCTGGCCCAGGCCCTGGTCAGGGTGCATGCAGGAGGCAACCAATCGATGTGTTTCTCTCACATTGATGTTTCTCACGTTCTTTCCCTCTCTCTTTACCCTCTCTAAAAATCCTCAGGTGAGGATTTAAAGAAAGAGAGAGAGAGAGAGAGAGAGAGAGAGAGAGAGAGAGAGAGGGAAATGGAGAATCCAAGATTCCCCTGGCACTTTAGAAAGGAGACTTGTTTGAGGATAGCAACAATTTCTTGTTTGTTATGTATGTTCTTGTAGGCAGAACGTTCACCCAAATTCAAGCCCTGTCTGACTTGCCTCAAACTAACTACTGATAGCTGGGAACGACCCAGTCCAGACCGGGAACCTCCTCTCCTTGCTTCCGTTTCCACCCGACTCCACAAAGGACCGGACCGGAAGTGGCGTGCAGTCGCAGAGCCAAGAGAACTACCGTTAATGCTGCCGCGCTGACCGGAAGAGGAAGGTGCATTCCTTAGGAAGTTCCCCTGTTAGTTGCCGCTTCCGCACGGTGGCTGTTGCGGACCTTGGGTTGGGGATCCGAAAGCTTCCGCGGCGCTGGGCAGGTTGTGAGATGCCGGGCGGAGGCCGCTGCCCCGACTGCGGCTCCACTGAGCTGGTGGAAGACGCGCACTATACGCAGAGCCAGCTGGTGTGCTCGGACTGCGGCTGTGTGGTCACCGAGGGCGTGCTCACCACCACCTTCAGCGACGAGGGCAACCTCCGAGGTACCTGTGCCGCCCTTGCCATCTCGAGCTGTGGGTGCAGCTCGGGGCGGTGGAAGGACTGACACCCGATTCCTCTTAGCTCCCGTCCACTTTTTTTCTCGTACGCATTTAAGTATGAGAGAAAACGACCTGAAGTGTAGGACTGAGCTGCGAAAGGTTAGGGACTGCCTTTCACTGTGTTTTTCTAGCATCGAATACAGTATCGGACAGGCATAAACGTTCAGTAAATGAAACAAAGAGAAACAAGGTTCTGCTCACTTTACCCGGGCTGGTCGTGGCGGGAATATTGTGGGTCAACTCTTTAACGAATACAGCACGTATCATTACCCTGAAGTAGTTTTTAGTACTAACCTGGAAAACGTCTTTTTCTTCCTTTGCTTTCCAAGTTCCTGAGCAGGGCAGCCCTCAAAATCTGCAGCCAGGAAACGGTCTGGATTGGATGTATGAGAGGGTGGGAGGGCACAGACTTGTACTGAAATGTCCGAACACTTGGAACTGCCTTAGTGTAGCCTTGATCTTCCTCAGTCTCTGTGTATGTGATCGTGCTGTGGACATAGGAAATCAGATGGACCTTTAATATGCACAGATGGGCACCTTCTGTGAGACAGGGAGCAGATGCCTAATGATTGGCATTCTGCTCCCTGGCTCTGTGTGGTAGGAGGGCAGGGGTCTGGTGAATAAAGGCTAACCCTGTTTTGTTTTGTTTTTACAGAAGTAGCGTATTCCCGGAGCACAGGGGAAAATGAACAAGTTAGTCGCAGTCAGCAGCGAGGTGAGGACAGACCTTGTATGACACAGTGGCTTTCAAGAAAATTCTCCTGATGGTCCAGCCCATGTGCTTGCTTTTCCTGATTTCAACTCTTATCATGTAAGGCAGAGTAGAAGGAAATGGTGATTCGCAACAAAGGATGGGGGTGGTTCTAGGAGAGGTAGCAAATCCGCGTAAGTTTGGGATTTGCTCAGGGATATGTTTGAGGTCGAGGCAAGGAGTCCAGATCAAACTTCGGCTTGGCCCTGAATCAAACCAGCCTCCCAAAAATGGTGGGCTAAAATGTGACTTCTTTCCACAAATTTCTTTGTGCCTTCGGAAACTTACCAGATATCGCTCC